AGGGTACAAGGATAATACGCGGAAAGGTGCCAGAACATATTTATTTAGAGGTAAAGAAAACAGACAAATTGGATTAACAAAGCTAAATGCATTCAAGACTGCTGGTAGTCCTTCACAAGGTAATCTATATTGAATAGATAAAAAAAAAACCCACAAAAAACCACCCTGCAAATGGATTAATATGCAAATCCCTTTAGTTGACAATTCCTGCCATTCCCATTAATACGAGCAGTGATTGTGGTTGATGAGAGTTGTAGGACACATCCACACAGCACCTAAAATGTGTGCCCTCTCATGTTTTTTCCCTGGGGTAACCAAATTACGCCTCAGGTAAAAATAAATTCTTCAACACAAAGCAGGAAAACCTCGGCTTGTGCCGAAGTAATTTGACAGCTGGAAAGATCCGGGTCTTTAAGAAGAATTGTTTTTTTCCAGCTGGAGGCAGTGTGTGGATTGGGCCTGGGGATCACGTCAAGCAACTTCCGGTGCCCGTCCACATCTGTCTCAGGTTTCTTGATCTCCTGGAGCCCAACAAACAGCCCCCACCTCCTCCTAAAAACCCCTTTGAAAAGCCTCTAAAAAAGAAAATAATTTACCCGGCCACCATTCTGGGTAACCTGACACATAGAAATGATGCGGCAAGAGAAGGGAGTAGGAAGAAAAACACTCCTGACCGCACCTTCTCCTGGTGCTTAATTTCTATGTGCCAGGAGAGCTCTGGAGAAGGGGGAATGGCAGCCGGGAAAGTTATTTTCTTTTTAAAGGCTTTTCTGGTGGGGGAGGGGGTTGTTTTGTGTCTGGGTGCCCCGACCACCTCCTCCTCCCCAGGAAAGCATGGATGTTGTGGGGAAGTGTGTGGACTTTAACCTGGAACAATCAGGTTTAAGAAACCTGATTGTGGCCAGGTTAAAGCCCTCTATGGAACCACCCTTAGTCAATCAATATCTTTGGATCCTCCGTTGCAGAAGCCTGAGTGTTGGACTAGGACTATGGGACAGGGGTAATTCCAAATTTCCACTCAGAAGTTTATGAAATGCACAGTGTAAGATTGGTCAAAATGCATCTCCGAACTACATTACCTGAGGACATTTTTGAAGATGAAATGGACCACGGAGGTCATCTATGTGAGGCAACAGAAGTTCCTTGGGAAAGAGAGAGAAATAAAGTATCATAAAGCATGCTACATTTTGAATTTTATCATAGTTTGTAATAATTGTAATCAGCAGTACTCTCCTTTGTTATAACAATCAAAAAGTTAAACATTAATTTTAAAAGATTAGCATTCCTAGTTGATTTATCTATGAGACACAAGCAAAGAGACAGTCTTGAAATGTTGCCACTTCTTTCCTGAAGCCAGTGACTCCAGTTTTTCCTGCCATGAACTTCCATTGCTCTTTTCCATCGGACTGTCTTAGCTCAAAGACAAGAACTTGCCACTTTGCACAGACTTTTGGACAAGTCATAGGATGCTTCCAGCACAGATTGGGGCTGGATCTTGCAAGATCCCATCAAACAATGAACAGCTACTTTCGGCTGGAAACATTGTATGATGGAGCAAGGAGAACACGGGGAGGCTTCCCACCCGGAGGGGGGGGGGAGCTGGGTAGTGAAACTTCTCCCCATGTGATGGGGAAGGCGGTGTTGAGGGCACTGTGGCGATTTGATGCGATGCCTGCCGAATTCCCCGCTGACACCTGTGTTAGAGCACTTAATGTGATGAAGTCCTTGGTCTCAGTGTCTGATGCAGCTCTTCATATCAGGAAGGCTGAGGATTAGAGAGATCTTTCTTGTGTTTCCTTTAGGAGAACCTAATGAGAAACTTAAAGGATGTTGTAGTTAGCAGCTTTGTCCATCTGCAAAAATTTGGGTTAGCTTGCTGTGCTGTTTTTACTTTACAGATGGTTCTTTTGTAATGTTAGTTTATTGAAACAAGTTCAGCTGTCAAAACAAATGGTTAAATAAATAGCAGACAGTTTATTGACAACATTGATACAAAGTGAGTTCTTCTGAAGTAAGTGGGCAATAGTCCCATGTAGAAGATTACAGTAGGCTCCCCACTTCCACAGCAATTAGGGGCACAGGATCCCGCAAAAGTGGGGGGAAAGTAGATTTTAAAACCCCACTATTTTTCATGTACTAGGAATCTCTAGATCTTCCATCCTGACTCAATGGTCAACTTTAGGGGGAAGTTGATCATAGAATCATGGTGGAGGATCAACAGATGCTTACAGAAGTGTTCTCGTGCTTGAGGACCTTAAGATTAATATAAAGAACATATTATTCAAATCTAGCAATAATAAAAATTGGCAAAAATTAAGTCACAAACATGGAGGCTAACTGTATAGGAACACAACCCTAGACTTCCTCCCAACTTATTTGATGCGCAGAGGTGGATGTTTTGAAAGAAAATTCCTCCATTTCTTCTCTAAAGAGTCCATGGAAGGACAACTGATGGACATAGGTTGCCAGGTTAGGCAGAACATCTCTCTCCACAAGTTGGGCAGCCCTGATACAAGTTATGTGGTATAACCCAAATTGGTGAAAACATGAGGAACATTTTAACAAGAGGCTGCGAGGAAAAGGTGGGCCTTCAGATGTTTGACTGCAGCTTCTAGCAGTCTAGTGATGTAGTCAGTGATGAGGAGTGATGGGAGTCACAATTCAGCAACATCTGAGAGCCACAAAGCCCCTAGTCCTGGCTCCAGCCGTTGGCGATGTGCTGGAGAATGAGACTGCCTTTGGACATTGTGATATAAAAGTTCTCAATGACTCCCAAGGTCTTGTTTGATTGGAAAGAGAAGCTCTTGTCTCAAGACCTTCACATTTGTGATTAACTCGAGCATGTTATGGGAGATTATCAGTGATCTTTGGCCCCCTTGCGTTTTGCTGCTGTCATGAAAGAAAAATTTCAGACCAGCATTACATTGTAGGGTCAGAGTATAGCAAAAAAGAATGAGATTATGGATGTGTTTTCTGGTGGTGATAAGCAAGTTCTCAAGGACATGTGTACAAGATAAATATACTCACAGTACAGAGCTATGAAATAATAGTATGACCAACAGCAGCCTGTTCCAGAAAGAGTCTCTGAATCCAAATATTTACTAATTAGTAAAATGCAGATAACATCTGAGTAGTACACTGTTTCTGGCAGGAGGAACAAGTGAGACCACCACACTCTCTTTACAAGGCTAACAAGGATTGCTACCAATTGTGGCCCCTTCCACAAAGCTGAGTGAAGCCCCACATTATCTGCTTTGAACTGGAATATGTGGCACCGTGGACTCAGATAACCCAGTTCAAAGCAGATGTTGTGGGATTTTCTGCCTTGCTATTCTGAGATACAGAGCTGTGTGGAAGGGCTCTATGTTAGTTATTACAATTGGGGGAAAGGGAGAAGGACTTAGAAGTGGGAAAAGTGCTCCTGAGGAAGAACAGCTGCTGTAGGAGCCAAACCTATACAAAGATTGGAGCAGGATATTATAAAAATTAACTTGCATGCATCAGATTTTTGTTATTGCCAATCATAAGACTGGATCTCGTTTGTGTGGCTGCTGCTTAAATCAAGACATTCAGCTAACTGGTTGCGTACTTCAAAGGCTCTCTTTCACCAGCCTTATCTCACTTGAGATAGGCATTTGCTATGTTTTCTTCTCTATGCAAATGATTGAAGAGATCCACACATACAGAAAATCTCCCATTTAGGCATGTGTAAGCATGGGAGAACTCAGGATGAATGTCAGACCAGTGCTGACCACAAAAACAATGGGCAGTTCTCCCCTTGTTATAAAGGCATCACCTAACACACTGAGTGTTTTTTCCAATAAGTTTTGTTTTGGCAGATGGGTTAGGGAGTCTGTCTTAACATTAATCAGGCTAATTTGACATTATTACTTAATTTTAAGTAGAGTAGACCCAGTCAATCACTTTTTGAGGGGTGAATCAGCTGTAGATCTTTTTTTTTGGGTCATGTCAGGAGTGACTTGAGAAACTGCAAATTGCTTCTGGTATGAGAGAATTGGCCGTCTGCAAGGACATTTACCATCCTTTTGAGAGGCTTCTCTCATGTCCCCACATGGGGAGCTGGAGCTAATAGAGAAAGCTCCTCCACGCTCTCCCCAGATTCAATCCTCTGAAATGTCAGTCTTCAATCCTGCCGGTATAGGGATTTAACCCACTGAACCACTGGGGGCTCCAATAGCAGTAAATGAATTCAGTGGATTTAAAGTGTTTACTGTAGTCAAGACTAAAATAGGATTCAGGCCTGGGACTGGATTATATGTAATGCAGAGAAAGCCCCCGGTGGCACAGTGAGTTAAAATGCTGAGCTGCTGAACTTGCTGACCAAAAGGTTTCAGGTTCGAATCCGGGGAGCGGCGTGATCTCCCGTAGTTAGCCCCAGCTTCTGCCAACCTAGCAGTTTGAAAACATGCAAATGTGAGTACATTAATAGGTTCTGCTCTGATGGGAAGCTAACAGTGCTCCATGATGTCATGCTGCCCACATGACCTTGGAGGTGTCTATGGACAATGCTGGCTCTTCGACTTAGAAATGGAGATGAGCACCAACCCCCAGAGTCGGACGCGACTAGACTTAATGTCAGGGGAAAACCTTTACCTAGAGATGGAAATATTGCAGGCTCCCATATTTTGTTAGGCAGCAGCTTTCCACTTCCCTTGCCATTGGTTACAATCTTTAAGGCTGCAATGTATTACTTGATTGTTTGGTAGGTCAGTTGCATATTTCTGTAACAAGGCTAGGGTTAGGGACTGCCAACTTCTGTGGAAAGTGAGGCGCTTCTTCAGTCTTTTCCTCACAGCCGTACAACCCAGAATATCAAGGCAGAAAATCCCCCAGTATCTGCTTTGAACTGGATTATCTGAGTACACACTGCCATATATTCCAGTTCAAAGCAGGTAATGTGAGATTTTATTCAGCTGTGTGGAAGGGGCCTTCCTTTTAATTTTTTTGATTTATCTGTTTTGTTCCAATTCTGTTCCCAGGAATCAAGAGGCTGTTTGTATCTACTGAAGTCATTCCCCGAATATGCATTATAGGCAGTGGACCTGCTGGATTCTATACAGCACAGCATCTCTTGAAGGTAACTGATGTGTTTACCAATAGAGAGTGGGGTGCTCTCTTATATTTCTGAAGTGAGATTATAGATTCCAGATGAACAACTTGATAACCCTGAAGCAGTAAAATTGCTTAATGTGTGTGCCTGGCAAGATCCAGCTTGAATATGCAATGGCTGTTGGCCTTGCCATAACTTGCTTTTAAAAGGTCTTAATGTCAAAACTTGAAAGTTCGGAAGGGTTGGGGGAAAACAAGGTGTCTTCTCCGCATACTGAAAAGACTGCACAGTATGTTTTAACCAAGTCTTTTTAGAATAAACATGCCACAATTGGGGTGCTGCCTCATTTTTCTTGGCATCTGAAGATGATCACAGGCTCTTAGGTAGGTAGGTGAGGGAGGACAAATTCTTTCACTGAACCCAGAAAGGTTAGCATTTCTTAAGACTCGGCAATCAAAGTCTGTTTACAGATTGAGGTCTGTAGGTGGTGCTGAAGAGTTATCATTGCCTCTGTTCATCCCTTTCAATGTGACAGTCAGATCCCAGTTCTATGCTATTTTTGCTGGTGGCGGATCAGCAGGGCTGTAACTGATGTTTTCCTGGCTGCCATAGCGGTGTCTTGGACGTACCTGAGATGTCACTAGGGTTAGCAGCCTTCTTGCCCACATCATACACACCCATGTGGGCTTGTGGGTTTTAGCATGGTAGAAATTTGCTTCCTATGACAGGAAAAATGTATTTTTTAAAAAAATCTAGAATATCCAGTCCCATAGTTTGAAATATAGCCATTTTTGTGCCTGATGTGAACAAAATTGTAGCTTCCTACAGCACAATCCTACACGCAGAAGAGGGACATCTTATTAAATTAATCAATGCTTCCTCCCAAATGTGTGTGCCCAGACTCAAAGCTTTTTATTGGCTAATTAGTTGCTGTTAATAGCAAATGGGTGATGGGCATGCTGTTAATATCCTCAACATCTTCAGAATCCCCAGACTTACATTTTTCTGACCTCAACAACTGGATTAATTGTTGTTTTTGCAAATCTCCAGGTGGAACAATATACATTTTGAAATAACTTGCAGGACTTACCAACTTGTAAATAACTTGTTAATTGCTGTCAAATTAACTTTGAGTTATGGCAACCTCATAAATGAGAGACCTTCAAGTCAGCCCCACATCAACTATTCTCTTCAGGTCTTGCAGACTCAAGGTTGTGGATCCCTGATTGAATCCATCCATCTGGAATGAAGTCTTCCTCCTTTTCTATTGCCTTCTTCCTTTCCAAATACTATTGACTTTTTAGTGAGTCATGTCTTCTCATGACATGTGGAAAGTATGATAGCACGAGGTTCAGTCACCTTCACTTTTAAGGAGAATTTAAGATTGATTTATTCTAGGACACATTAATTTGTCTTTTTGTAGTCCATGTTATCCATTTAAAAAAAATAAAAATGTTGTTTTTGGGAATTAGGACTTCTGGCTATTTGGAGATATTTGCTTTATTGTTTGTACATGCTGTGGATCTGCCACAGTTGTCTATTTCTGCTTTAGTGGACAGTACACTAAGAATATGATGCAGTTTTTAATATAAAGGTTGAGCATTTCTAACCCTAAATACTCAAAAATCATCCACATGGGTGGCTGAGATAGTGACACCTTTGCTTTCTGATGGTTCCGTGTTCAAACACTGTTATATCTAAATAATTATTGAAAATTATTGCATAAAATTATCTTCAGACTAGGTGTGTGATGTAATGTGAAATAAACCATGTGTAGTTCACATTTGATCAGCTCACACACTGCCTTGCCAGAGAAAGAAAATATGCCACGCAGATTAAAAGTAAAGAACAAGTAGTTTACTCTTCGTAGTTCATAACAACATATGTACAATGTGATCACTGGCATCAACTCACATAATGTCCTTTTATGAGAGATTTAAAATGGTATTTTTCTGTCCATGTGGATACCCTCCTTCAGCAGCTGATGAAGCGAGAGCACACTCCAAACTCTTTCTCTTCTTCTCACTCTGCACTAGCAGAGCTCAAGCCTGAACAAAAATGTAATGGTAACCAAGTCTCAGGCTCAGCCTGCTCCCTGTACATTACTTGACTAATTGGCTTCGTGCATCTTATTTTACAGTTGACACACACACACTCACTGATTCCTTGCATGCGCCAACAAGGTGCACACAAAACAATTTTGTGCTTAGGTCTGGGTTTCATCTCTGAGATCTTATTATATACATATATGCAAATACAGGTGTTCAGAAACTCAAAATCCAAAATACCTCTGGTCCCAAGCATTTCAGATAAGGGATACTCAATTTGTACTGAGAATAAATGAGATGGTTACTTAATCTCTTCAGAGAGACAAAAGTGAAACTCGAGGAGAAAATGAAATCCTGTCCTTGGTAAAGCCGGTGTCAAAACTGTAGAGTAGGATGTTTTCCCACCATTGTTGTTCTGCATGCGTAGCTGATAATAGTCTTAGTCCTTGTGAGGCTTTTGGGTTTGAGTGATGGAGATGGACTTGGAATCACTCCAGGTCCTTGTTGTTGGACAGCAAAAGACGAAGAAAGCTGTGGAGTTTTTCACGGGTTCTTGTTTTCAAATGCAAGGGTAATTAAACATCGATGGAGGGGAGCGACTGCCTGCGTTTGTGCGTAGTCAGGTTGGACAGGTTAATTAGCACATCAAAGGCTCTTGGCAGACTGAAAATATTCTAGCAAGAAGGTCGGTTCAGTGAAATACTAGGGAAGATAATGTAATTAACTGGAAAAGTATTCCGGGGCTTGCCTTTACTAAAGGATTTGATGCTCTTAAATGCAAATCTTTATTTTCCCTTTAAAAAAAACTCCAGCGTTTTCCCTTTGGGTGTGAATGAGAGAAACAATATTTTGGTTGCTGATGCTCAGCGGCCAGATTTAACTGTGAAGGATAATCTGGAAAGGCCTGGCACAGTGAATTTTAAAAAGGAAATGGATGCCATGGTCCTTTTCCAGCTTTTGAAGGACATCACTCTTCTGAACTAAAATCAAAAATTGGGCCTGAGTTAGTGCCTCTTTAGCACCTGCAAGGCTCTTTAGTTTGAACTAGACTTTGCAAAGCAACAGCAAAGACAGGCAGGTTTTATCTTTGATGGTCAAAAGAAACATACCTGTTTCATATCTTTGTTTATTCACTGCTCAAGGGAAGGGACATTGGGGCATAAGAAGACACAAGAGAGGATCTTCTTGGCTGGGGCAACCTTAATTGTGGAATTCTCCTCCCTCCTGGTCTGATTAGCACCAAATTAAGACATTTTAAAGATTAAAACCTAACAGGCTTAATTTACTTTAAACATTCATGGCTTTTAACTGTTGTAGCCTTTCATGCTGTTTACTTGCGGTCATGATTAAAAACCTTTTATTCTGTTTAAGATGGTTAATTGTTTTAATCTGGCATTATATTGTACTGTTCATTGTTTTATGTGTTGTCCTGAAATCCCACAAAAAAGAACTGGTTATAAATATTTCAGTTAATAAATATGGAAGTCAAGGAGACATATGTTTCATTCTTAAAGTAAAGGTAAAGGTTTCCCCGACATTAAGTCTAGTCGTATCCGACCATGGGTGGTGGTGCACATCTTCATTTGTCCGTAGACACCTCCAAGGTCATGTGGCCAGCATGACTGCATGGAGCACTGTTACCTTCCAGCAGAAGCGGTACCTATTGATCATATTTGCATGTTTTTGAACTGCTAGATTGGCAGAAACTGGGCCTAACAGTGGGAGCTCACCCCACTCCCCAGATTCAAACCAACCTTTTGCTCAGAAAGTTCAGCAGCTCAATTCAGTTGCAAAGGATGATCCTTTTTCATTTTAAAGAGTTGGATAGAAAAAGGAGTTTGTTGTGGAGCCTATACCTGATGAAATTCTCCATGCCATGCAACCAGTTAGTGAAATTAAGAGGGTAAAGAGAATCAGACAGGTTTAAGAATTAATGAGTGGTGTCTAAGAGTCTGAATTTGCTAGGAATGGAGAGTGTAAAAGTGTGAACTGTGTTTTAAATATACTAATAAATCTGTTTTATTATGCTTATCTTCTGTTAGTACAGTCAAGTCTGCTCTCCTCATAACCTGGGGTCAGGGGTGGAAAAGTCACAAATAAAAAAACCTATATTTTTTTAATCTGAGAGAAAACCCTCTCTTGGAACCTCTAGGTCTTTCAGCACATCACTAGGTTTTCCAAAACACCTCTGGCAGAAGTCACAGAACTGGACTGGATAGACCTAGAGATTCTTTAAAAGGTCATATTAAGAATCCTACCTTCATGACCGTATCTCCTTCTACAAACCCGCACAACCTCTTCAATCTTCTGGGGAGGCCCTCCTCTCGCTTCCTTCTCCATTGCAGGTGCGACTTGTGGGGACCAGGGAGAGGCCTTCTCTGTGGTGGCCCCTTGGCTTTGGAACTCGCTACCCGGAGAGATTAGGCAAGCGCCTACCCTGGCAGCCTTCAGGAAGAGCCTAAAAACCTGGCTGTTCCGGTGTGCGCTTGAGGAATGAATACAAATCCCCACACCACGACCAGCTCAGTACAATATACCCTTCAATGTACTTCATCTCATCCTTTAGTGAAACTCACCCCATTGCTTGTCCCATCTGAAATCTCCCACCAGGCACACTACCCTACTCATCCATCTCACCCAGGTTTTTTTATACTTTATGATTCTGTTCCTTGTAACTGGCCCAGTCCACTTTTCTATTATTTTATTTTTATTTCCTGTGTTTGACTTTGTATTAACTTGTTTTGTTTACTTTTATTTGATGGTATTATTTGCTGTATGTATTTGATTTTGATTTGTTGTAACTGTTGGGCTTGCCCTCATATTAGCCGCCACTCTGGGGAGAGGTATAAATAAAGTATTATTATTATTATTATTAATAATAATAATAATAATAATAATAATAATAATCAAATCTGCCAAAGTTAAATCCATAGATGTGAAGAATAAACTGTATTGTTTTTGTTTTTATCTGCTTTTGGCTTCCATTATGGTATTATACAGATTGGATTCAGATGTGGCATTTGTGGCGGCAGTGAATACAGTAGCATAGTGTCCAGAGGAGTTATAAGTTGTACCTTGAAGGCATTTAGGAAATCCCAACTGTTGGTGGCCACAGTGGTAGGACAGGAGGAGTGTCTTAGAGTCATGGCAGAGATGTGGACCATGGAAAGCCCTCACTCTTGTTGGTGACTGTGAAGTTTGTGCAAGTCTTCACACTTGGTATCAGACAAAGTTTTGGCAGAGCCTCACACTTGGTGGAAAAGTGGTGGGTTATGTTAAACCATCACAGAGGTGCATCCCCTTTTTCGGGGGTCAATCCTGTAATTATGCAGTAAGACCATGTCCAGCTCCACAGTAATGCCATTTCTGGATGGGTGAGTATTTAATCTCTCCAGTCCTAGTTTGGTAACATACTAGTTTTTGGACAGGATATTATCATAATGCCTGTCATGCTGAATTGCCTATGAGCTGAAATGCCCCCATACCTACAGTGGCCTTTAAAGAATGGGTTTAAGCCGGGTAACCTGTTATGACAGTCTTTTTTTTAGGACTCAAGGAATTATAATTCTGTGTGAGTGCTCCTAGTTGTTGGCAATCCAAGCCCATTCTATGGTTTTCACAAGATTTTATTGGTAGAGAAATAGGGAGTTTGAATGTATTTCTGATTGGATAATGTTTTAAATACATTGTGCTGTCATGCTCAGTTGTATTTACTTTTTTACATCTCAGTGTGGATTAAAGGCATTGTGCCACATCCTTGATTTGAAGTATGATAAGAAGCATATAGCTTACTTGGCTGTGAGAAAAATGTTTTTATAGATACGATAAAATCCAGACTATTGAGTATTATGTATGTGTATATATCTCTATTGAGGTCTTGCCCCTTTTTTCGGTCAGTTGTTAAGTAGCACCGGAGAGAGTGTGTGTGTGTGTTTATGCATGTACCTTCAAGTTTGGAGACCCCATCCATTTCATGGAGTTTTATTTTTGCCAGTCCTCTTACTTGAAATATAACCTACAGTACCTAGTATTCATTGGCTGTTTTCCATCCAAGTTTTAACCAGAGTTGACCCTGCTTAGTTTCCAATATCAGATGGGATCTGGTACCTTTGGGTCTTTAGGCCTAGAACTGGAGTACCAATGTATCAGTGCACATTTGTTAGTACATGCCAACAGTCATTCATATATGGTTCTAACATATTCATGTCCAACAGGCAATTAATTAGGATGTAGGACGTTCTCTTTCCTAAACAGAACAGTCCCATATGTGTTTTCTAAAGTAAATAAATAGATTCCACTCAGTTCAACATCATTTACTGTTTAAGGTAGTTTCAATTTGCTTAATGTACGTTATTCCAGAATAAGTAGAGGCATGAATATTTATTTTGAAATAATTGCAGCAGAGCTGTATGAGTTTTTATAAGAGAGATCTAAGAACCATGGCCCAGTTTGTATTGGTTAGCAAGAAGCTTCGAGGTCCTGAATTTCCTAGTTTAATTGGCCATTTCAGTGTGGAGATTGGAAGGTTTTGCTTCTGTTTTCAACCAACGGCAATTAATTTTGACTGCAGAGTCATGGCAGATTATGGTTAGTCTGTTGTATGGCCTGTACTTGGGAAACAAGTCAAATTTGAATTGTAGAATATGATCCTAACCTGTTCTCTTACGTTATACTGTTGGGACCAGCCAAGATGTCACAATATAGCAAGTAAGCTTTTGATCTATCCAAAACTTATTTGTCTGACTGGATGGTACAAAGGAGTGGGAACAAAGCACAATAATTAGGACCGATTCTATAGCTATCTGTTTAGACTCCATGTGAAGACTACAGACTGAATGAGTGAGTTTCTGCTAGGTGCTATAATTCTCACATTACATTTAGGATTATGGAATGATGATACGAAGCTGACATCCCTGACATCCCCTCCCCAACTTTGGAAAAGAGCAAAAAATCCCATTGTAGCTCCTATCTCTTTCTGGGTATGTTTGCTTCAGACTTTTGATGGAAATTTGGAGTGGTGTGCTAAGGGAAGACTTCCTCTTGTATTTTGCTCCCTGTCCTCCAGCCATTCAGTCAAGTGTCCCCAGGCCTGTGCTGATTCCCCATTTACTACAGGGTAGATTAACATTATTCTGTTGCTTTCAGATTGGATGTTATAGATCCGGTTGGATGGCTCTTTAAAGGGGATTGGAGCTGTCCCAGAGCTGCAAATCACTAAAGCTTACGCAATTTTGTATATATTTTTATAAAATGAGATTGCCTTATAAAATTATTTTTGTACAGGGATTGAGCATCCCTTATCTGGTTGAGATAGTGACACCTTTGCTTTCTGATGGTTCAATTTACCAACTTGGTTTCATTCAAAAAAATATTAAAATATTATACAAAATTGCCTTCAGGTTACATGTGTATGAGATATAAATGAATGTCATGTTCAGTCAAACATTAGAGATTAGTAAACAAGTTAGTAAACAAGTGGCCTGCAGGTTGGAAAAAAATGGACACAGTCCCAAATTACTGTAATGTCAACTGTTGTATGGTCTGTTTTGACAGCAGCATGGTGATAATCTCAATCAGTACTAGTTCAAGTTTCATTTATTTATTTGTGTCTTTTTATTTATTCTCAAACCTAAATCTCAATTCATTTCTCAGCACCACAAACAGGCTCAGGTGGACATTTATGAGAAGCTGCCAATTCCCTTTGGCCTGGTTCGCTTTGGAGTCGCTCCGGACCACCCAGAAGTCAAGGTTGGTGGTAGCTTTCTCTTCTATTGTCACAGCCTGGGACATGGTCTAGCATATTGTGGGTGGAGGGGAGAGCAGAGGCTGGAATTGTCCATTTTAATGTTTTGCAATAGTGGTGTGGTACAGCCAGTTTGCTGTTTGCTTCTCTTGGACACATGGATATTTTTCCTTTCCCTCTGTCAGGAAATGATGCAGGAGTTTGTGAACCTTGAGATGGCAAACCTGCCTGGCAAGATTTAGGGCTTGGCTTGTGAGACTCTCAGATTCAAATCCTTCCTTGGTTGAGAAGTACACCGGGTGGCCATGGCTGAGCCACCATCTGTCAACTACGCTTGCCTCATATGATGGCAGAGAAGCCAAAAGTCTGCTCTTGAGTTCCTTCAAAAATGGGAATGGTATTAAAATACATGTGGACCATTCTTGGTAGTTGGAAGGGATAGGAAGGATTTGAAGGTGAACACAGGCAAGTAGTCAGGCTGTGAAGAACATGATGTAATGGCAGAACTGACAGGCCACATGCATCTAAGCCATTTCATAGAATCATAGAATAATAGAGTTGGAAGAGACCTTGTGGGCCATCCAATCCAACCCCCTGCCAAGAAGCAGAAAAATTCAGAGCACCCCCACCAGATGGCCATCCAGCCTCTGTTTAAAAGCCTCCAAAAAAGGAGCCGCCATCACACTCCGGGGCAGAGAGTTCCACTGCTGAACAGGTCTCACAGTCAGGAAGTTCTTCTTAATGTTCAGATGGAATCTTCTTTCTTGTAGCTTGAATCCATTGTTCTGCATCCTAGTCGCCAGGTCAGAAGAAAACAAGCTTGCTACTTCCTCCCTATGACTTCCTCTCACATATTTATACATGGCTATCATGTCTCCTCTCAGCCTTCTCTTCTTCAGACTAAACATGCCCAGTTCTTTAAGCTGCTCCTCATAGGGCTTGTTTTCCAAACCCTTGATCATTTGATTCCAGCTTGTCCAGCTTGTCATTCCAGCTTGTCAACATCTCCCTTCAATTGTGGTGCCCAGAATTGGACACAATATTCCAGATGTGGTCTAACTAAGGCAGAATAGAGGGGTAGCATGACTTCCCTGGATCTAGACACTATACTCCTATTGATACAGGCCAAAACCCCATTGGCTTTTTTTGCTGCCGCATCACATTGTTGGCTCATGTTTAACTTGTTGTCTATGAGGACTCCAAGATCTTTTTCACAGATACTGCTCTCGAGCCACGGCGTCTCCCATTCTGTATTTTTTGCATTTCATTTTTTCTGCCTAAGTGGAGTATCTTGCATTTGTCACTGTTGAACTTCATTTTGTTAGTTTTGGCCCATCTCTCTAATCTGTCAAGATCATTTTGAATTCTGCTCCTGTATTGGCTATCCCTCCCAATTTGGTGTCGTCTGCAAACTTGGTGAATCATGCCTTCTAAGACTTCATCTAAGTCATTAATAAAGATGTTGAACAGGACCGGGCCCAGGACGGAAACCTGTGGCACTCCGCTCATCACTTCTTTCCAGGATGAAGAGGAAGCATTTGTGAGAAACACCCTCCGGTTTCATTTGTTTAACTAATTACAGATCCACCTAACTGTAGTTTTGCCTAAACCACATTGGACTAGTTTGTTTGCCAGAAGGTCATAGGGGACCTTGTCGAAGGCCTTACTGAAATCCAGGTACGCTACATCCACAGCATTCCTCACATCTACCCAGCTTGTAACTCTATCGAAAAAAGAGATCAGATTAGTCTGGCATGACTTGTTTTTGATAAATCCATGTTGACTATTAGCAATGACCCATTTCTTTCTAAGTGTTTGCAGACCACTTCCTTAACAGTCTTTTCCATAATCTTGCCTGGTATCAATGTGACGCTGACCAGACGGTAATTGTTTGGGTCATCCTTTTTTACTTTCTTGAAGATAGGGACCACATTGGCCCTCCTCCAATCTGCTGGAACTTCTCCCGTTCTCCAAGAACTCTCAAATATGATTGCCAATGGTTCCGAAATGACTTCCGCTAGTTCCTTCAGTACTCTTGGGTGTAGTTGATCTGGCCCTGGGGACTTGAACTCATTTAGAGCAGCCAGGTATTCCTGGATGACTTGTTTTCCAATTAGGGGTTGGATGTCCTCTAATCCCTCATCCACTCCATCTTGCTTAGATTGAGGATGATTTTCTTTTTGTGAGAAGACTGAGGCAAAGAAGGCATTGAGTAGTTCTGCCTTTTCTCTATCCCCTGTCAGCATTGCCCCATCTTCTCCTTGCAGAGGCCCTATCGCCTCCTTGTTTAATTCCAGCTCTCATGCTTGGAGCTGTGGATAATGGGAATCATCCATTTTTTCTTCCCTCTAAACAAATTTTCTTCTTACCTAGTTCTCCCAACTAGCCCTCAAGAAGCGGTAACCTTAGAGATGTAAAATTGGGGGAGTTTTGTCTCTTGCTTTCTTCTAGAAAAACTAGACTTTTTTTTTAAAGGAAAAATGCAATATTTTCACCCGTTTACTGATTGTTTGCTATTTTAAAGAAATGAAATTCATTATACACAATCTCTTTAGTTTTCCAATTTGAGGAACAAGCAATGAATTTTAGTATGAATATAACAAAACAGTAACATTTGTTAAAGAGAGAAAATTATTTGGACTTCTCTACTTCTCCTTCGTGGCAGGCAGACACAGTGCACTCATTTCCATTAAATGAAGTGAGAAAACGAAACCATGATCAGAAATTATAGTAATCTGATCCTCTAGAAAGCCTAATATAAAGGTCTTTCACTTACGTAGTTTTTAGAAATACATATTTTTAAAACAAAATATCCCATCATCAATTCTTTTTCTCAAAATTTTCGGGGCAGAAGGAGAAAAAAATAGGGGAAAAAATAGGGGAAAAAAATGGCTCCCCGCTGAATTTTCCATTTCTCCTTTTTTGTTAGATTTAATATCTCTAAACACGTTATACCAATGCTCAATTTTTGTTTTCTTTTCATGTATTTTGTCATGTTTTTCTTTGCATCTAATGTTCTGTTTTTCACATTATTTTAAAGAGAGAATCCACTTTAAATATGGGGTGCTAGATTTTGGAGAGGGTAAACTTAACATTGGTAGAAGGTCATTACTATCCTGCCATCATGGTATGTTAAAACAGCAACAGCAGCAGCAACAACAACAAAACTGCTCTGGCCTGGATTCAATTGTTAGTCTCTTAGTAAGTTAGCTTTGACTGTTAGTAGATCAGACTGAATACATCAATATAAACTTGGTAAGTCAACACTTATATAGGCTCAATAGGTTTACTTTATTTGGAACTTAGAACTGAATTTGGTTTTCTAAAATGATGAGGATCATGCAATCCTCCAGATATTCCCAGACTGCAACTCTTAGCATAACTGTAATGACTGCGACTGCTGGGAGATCCAGTGCAACAGCCTCTGGAGAGCTATAGGATTCCCTCATTCTAAATCAGTGGTTTTCAACCTGTGGGTCCCCAGGTGTTTTGGCCTACAACTCTCAGAAATCCCAGCCAGTTTGCCAGTTGTTAGGATTTCTGGGAGTTGAAGGCCAAAACATCAGGGGACCCACAGGTTGAGAACCACTGCCCTACCTGAATCAATGTGATATTAAATTTTATACTCTTTCACTGCAAGCAGCTAAAAAAAATGCCAGCTGTTGGCTGTGGAATTGGCTCCTCTGCTGATGATTGCACCTTTGGGGAGAAGAAACCCTTTTATATATGCCCTTTTATAATGGTGCTGCCTGGCTTGGTGCCAAGCCTTGGATCACAGTGTTATTTCAAAAATGAGATCTTCTCTCCAGTTGTCAGATAAGAGTCTCAGAAGATGCAGCCTGAATGAGAGAGAGAGAGAGATGCTCCCTTAGATGGCACAAGAAGGTCACCAGTGACCTTCATCCCTCCCTCGCTGCCTGCTTTGCCATCTTCTCCTGCCTGGGTGCTGTAGGAGAACCTATCAAATCAGAACCCCTCTTGCCGTCTCTCCCAAACAGAATGTGATCAATGCATTTACGCAGACGGCACGCTCTGATCGCTGCATCTATTCTGGGAACGTGACAGTGGGGAAGGATGTCACCATAAAGGAGCTGCAGAAGGCTTATCATGCCGTGGTTTTGGTGAGTTTACTTCTCTGTGAGATTGAACAGCAGAGAAATTGCCAGAATGGTTGGCGAGAAAGACAGATCAATATTTAAACAATATGTCCCATGAGTAGATAACCACAGTGGTTGATGCATGCCTTTCTTCACCATCTATTCCAACATCACATTTTTTTTTCTGAAATGTTGCATTCCATTCTGGTCCTGGGGCCCAGGCCCCATCTCCACTGCCATATAATGTAGTTTCAGAATGCAATTTAGATTCATATAATTCACTTCAATGCAGTTAAGCTGCATTATACAGCAGTGTAGATGGGGCCCCAGTTAAAATGTGTAAAGGGAGCTACAGCAGAGTCTCGCTTATCCAACATAAACGGGCTGGCAGAACGTTGGATAAGCGAAAATGTTGGATAATAAGGAGGGATTAAGGGAAAGCATATTAAATGTCAAATTACACATTAAGCACCAAAACATCATGTCTTTACAACCAATCGACAGAAAAAAAGTTCAATACACGGTAACGTTATGTAGTAGTTACTGTATTTATGAATTTAGCACCAAAACATTGCAATGTATTGAAACAGCCGTGGATCCGGGTGGGAAGTAGATTGCGTTGGATAATACAGAACATTGGATGAGTGAAGGTTGGATAAATGAGACTCTACTGTACTTCTAAATGCTGTTTTTCAATTGAGTCATTTTGGCTGTTGGGATTGGAAGGACTTCAGAGTTGCTCCATGTAGGCATCTCTGAATCAGGAAACAGGTTCTTGAAGTCAAGGGAAGTTCAGAGTTTAAAATCATCCATTACAATTAGGTGACTCTGAGCGTGAAATCTATAGCAACCGTCCTTGTAGCTTGCTTTAATGAATGTTGAAATAGCCCGCTGCTTTCATAGCATTTTAACAGCCTCATTTATCAGAATAAATTCACACAATCAAAAGTCCGTGTACAGCTTTAGACAATTATTTCATCCCCATATTCTTGCCAGAAGAAGATGTCAGCATTGGTAAAACAAAGAAAATGGTTTTATCTCCACCAGTCCTCCATAGCCTCAAGCAGAAATAATATAATCATTCCCTTGACAACAACTGAGAAAATCAGACCAAGGCCACAGATCTGCTGTAGGACATAATTTTGCAAAAAAAAGTCTTTCTCTCAGATAGTTTTTTTTTTTTTAGGAATTATTTTGGGATAGCAAATGTTTGAACATCTTGTCATAAATATTTAGTTCATCATTCAAGAGGGAAATATTCCATTATCCAATTCTTCCTCATTTTTTTCTGGGCAAAAAGGCTTCAGGGAGAAGATAGGGTGTTTTATAAAACAAAACGCATTTTTCCAGGCCTTCACATTTCTTGGAAAGTTCTCCAAACTATTGCAATTTGATCTACTTGGGGCTATCCTTGAAAAATGTTCAGAAGCTACTGCTCATGCAAAATACATATAGTGTCCACTCCATAAATTGTTGGAAAAGGCATGTTTTTGGCAGTTGATGAACAGTTTGCCAGAAGCACAGTTTTCCCAGGCTGTTTTTGCTTGGTCTTATGTATTATTGGATTGGTGCTAGAACAGCTCTCCTGGTGGACTCCCCTCAGCAATTCCCCCTGGTTGTGTACATGTGAGCAACATTATAATGGAGGAATACAAAATCAATGGGAGGCTTTTTAACAAAGAAAGAGGCAGAGATCTGCAAACTGAGCTTGGTTGTTTTTGCTCTCATGAAACCTATGTGGGTTCAAGACTCCAAGGAAATGCTTTCAAACATGTATTCTGTTGTGAGTATTTCTCTCTGTGGAAGGAAAGAATTCCTTTCACGTAGGAGGAAATTGACCATGTGTGTATTTGACTCACTCCCTGTGAAATGTGTGTGGTTTTCTCTCTCCTCCCCCCCCCCCCAAATCTTTTTTCTCTCTCTGCAGAGTTATGGAGCTGAGGACAGCCGGAGGCTTGGGATTCCCGGAGAAGACCTTGCAGGAGTCTATTCCGCTAGAGCATTTGTAGGATGGTACAACGGCCTGCCTGAGAACAGAGATGTAAGGTTGTAGGTTCCCTTACGTACATGCACATAGATTTGCAAACGCATACACGCCCAGACATCACAGGGCTTTCCACATGTTTGAACACAGCCATCCAGGTTTGGCTTAGTGGCTGGCTGAAAGGCCTGCAATTGGAAAAGATTAACAGATGTCAAATTAAATCCTCTTCAGATTTACAAATGTGAACAATTTGCACGGCCATAAGAAGAGATTAGCTGGCTCCCTCTCTCAGAGGTGCCATAAGGAAAGCTAGAAGGGATGCTTCTGCCTTTGAGACAGGGGAGAAGAGGCTAGAATATTTCACATAGAATCCCTACCTATGTGAGTGTGCAAATAAAGAGTATGTGTCCTATAATTTGTGAGAAAACCTGTACGACCATTTTCGTGTCACAAAATGTCTCCTAGGAGACTTTGGCACAGCGTGGTGTGTCTGTGGGTATATAAATTTAGCCCTATAATAAAATGTTATGTCTAAAATAGTGCTAGTATTTGTAGCCATTGTAAAATCATGAGCTGCAGGTTGCTTACAGAATAACTAGATGATACAATACTATATTCTGCTATTACTTGTTGTATTTCCATCCCCTCCTTCTTCTAAAGATCTCTGTATAGCAAATGTATTCCTCTCCAGCACTCTGAGTATCCATCTTTTCTGTCACCCAGTGAAATCAATGTGGGGCCATTAGATAGAGAGAGAAAGTGATGGACTGAAAAGGAAAACATTCTTATAGTGCAAAACAGCATGGTTTTTTTAAGAAGCTCATGTTAAAATCCCCTTTCAGCTACAGAGATCACTACATGAGCACTGGAATATGATAAGTCCCACAGGGACCAGGAAAAAGCAGTGCATTCCCTGTACTGTTTAGACTAGAGTGAGACTGGAAAGGCAGGGTAACCATAAAAATATTAAATTTAAACAAAATATTTACATGTCTGAATGTTTAAATTTTCTATATGTTTTATGTTTAATGGTTTTAATTGGTTTTAAGTTCATAGTTATATGTAGTAATTAGTTATTATGATTTCTTTGGGTACTGTATGTTGGCATTGCATTTTTGCTGTTAGTATTCTGTAAACTGCTTCGAGTCCCCCCAGGGGTGAGAAAGGCAGTATATAAATACAGCAAATAAATAAATAAATAAATAAATAAATAAATAGTTGGGCCTAACGTAAGATGAGAGGGTGGGCTCCAATGCTGCTTGTTATGGCTATTGAAAAGATGGCGGTTATGCTTAACAGGGATGTTATTTTGCCCTGAATGTTGCTATTTTGTAGGAAAAATGAGTGAATATGGTTCCCTATAACCATATTTTAGAGGGAGGGGGCTGTGTGTCTGTATATTTGCCAAAGCTTGTGATGTGTGTGGAGTTTTCCTACGAGGAGCTGACATGAACATAGGGAAAATAGCCTTTTATGAAGTTGACCTCAGTAATTGCTTTGAGGCTGAACTACTCACTGCTGTTTGGTTGTGAGAAGTGTTTTTTTTTTCCTGCCTCTTCTGGGCTGAGTGATTTTGCAAGAACCTTTTCCATAAGGTGCTGCAAAATTAAGAGGCAAAGACGGCCTGTTGGTTAACCATGTAGGCTGATCTTAAAGCAGTGGAGTGATTCTGAGACTGGGCAAGGGCTGGGAATCACTGCAGTGTTGGACACTGAGAAATGGCTGAAGTAGGGGGATCTCTCTGCCCCTGCAGCTGAAACCAGACCTGAGCAGTGAGACGGCTGTGGTCCTGGGACATGGGAACGTGGCTCTGGATGTCGCTCGGATTCTCTTATCACCTCTTGAAATTCTCAGGGTAAGTTGGCATAAAGCACAGGCTGTTGTTAAATGCTAAAAGGGCACAAGGTAATAAAGTATCAAGTCATAAACTACCAGGGAAAAATCCCCCTTTAGCTGCGTGCAGGGAGAGTTGCATCAAGGTAGAGCTGGGCCGAATCTCTAATTATAAAAGCAGTTACATGCTGACTGTTGCCAGCTAGTTGGATCCTCGCCTCGGAGATAAAGAGCTGTCCTTCTGCCTTGCTCTGTGAGGAGCTTGTAATCCTGCATCTGCTACCATCGGAGTTGGAGACTCAGGAGGCGAGAGAGGCTTTTGAGGGATCGGCTGGGATCAGAGGAATCTGTTACAAAACAGGCTACTACTCTACAGCAAGGAGGGTGAGAAACAGGGGACAACAACTCTTCCTTGAAGTATCTGTATAGTGTTCTCCCATAGTCCACCAGTGCTGCCTGGACAAAACAAATAATTTTACCTCCAGTTCTCTTGCTTTTTAAATAGATTGAATGCTTTATACCTTATCTGGAAGCAGCAAATAATTTAGAAAAAGTGACTACCTTTTCCACAGTCACTTTCCCCTTTTTTGTTATCTAATTTAGGAATGCAGAAATTTTTGTATTTTAAAAGGTAAAAGAAAAGCTTTTCCCCTGACATTAAATCTAGGCGTGTCCAGGTCTGGGTGGTGGTGCTCATCTTCATTTCTAAACCGAAGCATCAGTGTTGTCCGTAGACACCTCCAAGGTCATGTGGCCAGCATGACTGTATGGCGTGCCATTACCTTCCTGCCAGAGCGGTACCTGTTGATCTACTCACATTTTGCATGTTTTCGAACTGCTAGGTTGGCAGAAGCTGGGGCTAATAGGGGAGCTCATCCCGCTTCATGGATTCGAACTGCCAACCTTTGGGTCAGCAAGTTCAGCAGCTCAGTGGTTTAACCTGCTGCACCACCAGCGGATTATTACATGACACTTTTAAGAAAACCTCTCTCAACTCTTCACAATCAGATCTCTAAGCCTCTTCTCGGTGGCCCTGAACTAATACTGTCTAAAGGGTACCAAGTTTCTTCCATCCTATAGGAAGGAAAACCCATTTGAAAAAGAACTAAATCCAGAAAAGTGGAATAGGAGTTTAAGCTGAATAACTGAATATCTAACTACATTATTACATGGGAAAAAAATAATGTTATGATGCTGAAGAGCTGTTTTGAGCCCCACTGCATACAAACAGACTTGCAGTAGTAGCAAAAGAAAAAGAAAGGAACCCATCTTGTGTATGATTGCCATAGTGAAAACTGGGGTAGACTCCTGCCCCTTTAATGGATGCTTAGAAGAGGGAACTTCGTCATATGATGCCCGTCCTGCAACTGGTAACAAGCCAGACCGGCTGAAATTCTCTCATTAAGTCTGCCTACAGATGTAGGAGCCCTCTCCAGTTTTCACTCTGGCAACCTTTAAACCTGAAAGTTCAAGTTCTCTGTTGAACCATGAAACTCACTGGATATCTCTCAACCTAACTTATCTCACAGGGTTGTTATGAGAATACACCGGAAAGGAGGAGAGCCATGCATGCTCTAAATAGAAGGCAAGCAAAGGAAACGTGGGGTGGGGGGGGGGGGGGGGAGACAAGAACCTGTGTGGAGTGAGGGGAAGTCATGCAAAGCATGGATGCTCCAGAATCTGTAATTACACCCCCTACGTGGTTTTTAAAGGTTACTTAATGCTTTACACTTTTGTACTCAAGAAGCCACTCCATGAGTATAAAATAAATTTGTATGTATAGCTCTCTTTAGACCCAGTGAGGTTTTTCTTAAAACTGGAAGTGAATCAGAAGTGACTTTCTGTCATATCTGGCTTCTGGTTTTTTTTAGAAAAATGCCTCTCTTGGTCCTAAAATGGCTCAGAATGACTTAAGAACATGGCCGAAATCCACACACACACCTTACTGTGAGGCATTTAGGGAGAAAAATATTTTAGTTGCTGGTAATGGGAAGTTTTTAGTAGGAGGAGTGCGGGCTTTCAAAGCCCCCTAAGATTTCGTAGTTGCCCAGCCCTGGTGCAAATCACCTTGCCTTGAAAGGAGATTTGAGGTGTTGGTTTATACTGTGACTGGTTGTGCTATGAACTCTTTCCTTTTCATTTCTTGTTTCTTGTCCCTAATCCCCAACCTGTTCTCCACATCTAGAAATCTGACATCACTGAAGACTCGCTCACAGCCTTGGCCCGCAGCAAAGTGAAGCGGGTGTGCCTTATAGGGAGGAGGGGCCCCCTCCAGGTTGCCTTCACCATAAAGGTAAATAAAATAAAATGCAGGAGGAGTTTTTGAGTTGGGAAGACTGCCTCTGGTGAGAGTATATCCTCATGTTCGTTGTGAGGGAACAAGGATATGCTCTTGAGTACAAGAATATGCAACCCTTACCTATTTCTATCTGTAGACACTGCAAATAATTGGACTGGGAGGCTTGCTTGCCCATTATAAATCATGCAGTGAAATTGTGGAAAGGAGGGACTTGCACTTGATAAACCCTTTTGTACATACTTCTCTGCTGTTTTGGTGGGGGAGCATCAAACTAAATGTGGGAAATTCGATGTCGAGGCAGGCCATCAGACTCAGGAAAGTGCATGGCATTATCCCAATTTATCTACTGAAATTGTCCAGGTGGTGCAGTGGGTTAAATTGACTGATAAGTCAGCATTTTGAATCTGGGGAAAGTGGATTGAGCTCCCTCTGTCAGCTCCAGCTCCTCATGCGGGGACATGAGAGAAGCCTCCCATAAGAACGGTAAAACATTAAAACATCCCGGCGTCCCCTGGGCAGCGTCCTTGCAGATGGCCAATTCTCTCACACCAGAAGTGACTTGCAGTTTCTCAAGTTGCTCCTGACATGAAAAAAATCTGCTGAAATGACATACAATGTATTTGCATGCCTTTCCAGAGAACTATTGTTTCCTAGAGCAGCTCATATGGGCATTCCTTCTTTTAAAAATAGAGTAGGCCTATTTTTACATTTCTCATAAGATTATGTTGTGGCATACAAATCCCATTAAAAAGCACATGTATACATGTCCTTGCCTGAACTGAACATTACTTAGAGTTGAAAACTTGCATGTGGCAACCTCCTAGGACTGCAACTCTTCTGCATGAAGTAATGAGGGATGTGTTTCTATCCATTTGAAAACCCCAGGAGCTGCGAGAGATGATCAACCTACCTAATGCCCGACCTTTCCTGAATCCTGCAGACTTCAAAGGCCTTGGTGATGCTATCAAAGGTAAGGATCAGACGGAGACATGTTTCTGAAATTAACAGTATTAGAAATTCCAGTTTATCTCAAAGCCCTTCTGACCTGAAAGACCTTCTTTCTTATCCCATCTGGGTGTGGCGAGTGATACTGAGAATTAATGCTCTTTGATTAGATTCACAAAGTTTTCTTTTAAGTATACTGTATGTTTGGGACTGTATCACTACATAAATGTAAAGTGTGTGTTTTTGCAGAGGGGAGAGGAACACAATATGGGGCCTCTAAACTCTGCAATTGCTGTTGACAAATTGGCAGCAGCTTCACATATCATAACTGAAATTTGCAGATGCTTCAGTGAGTGGCTAAAATCTTCTCCTAAGCACAGTGGGGTGGGTTCTGTGGTGCAAGGCAGGGTATTTAAGGGTTTGAGAGCCTTTTGTGCCCTTCTTTGTATTCCAGTGGGCCACATTTCTTACTCTGCTGCCCCTATCCCAAAATAGTCTTTCCCCTAGAGCAAATTGTGTGTCCACAAACCTTTGAGGCAAGCTTTGCCAGTTAAATCTATTTGCTGATCTTCTTTTTAGAATTGGAAAGTGATCAGCAGCAGCCAAGAGCCTAATTGTGAAGGTTGAGCAAAAGAGGCTTAGATCTTGATTCTAGGGAAGAAGTCAAGGGCACAACGAGGTGCTAGCTTCTGGTGACAGTGAAAGACACAGGGCCATCCTGCTAACATGTCTCAAAATGTACAGCCGCCTGTAGCCCTTGAAGAGTTTGGATTAATGCTGACACATTGCCTTATCATTGGCATTGCTGGCAGGGGCATCTCGAGAGTGAGATCTAGAAGGCCAATTTCCTCTTCCTGGTTTCTCTTTGCCCACATGGCACCCTTTGATTGACTGGGAATTTCATTCAGTTAGATTATAGAGTCTTGCTACTTTCTTAATTTTGCTCATCAGCAAGCAGCTTTCAGGCGGTTTTATACATTAGCAGGTTGTAGAAATGGTTCAGGCTAAGGGAAAGCCTATTCTGGAAATGTCATAAAACTTGCCATGACAGTGGTGGTTGTTCAATAATACAGCAACTGAACCTAACATGGGGGTGTCTTCTCAAGATTTGTTCACAATGGGTTTGCCTTTGCCTTCCTCTGAATCCTATTTCCCAGGCTCTGATCCCAGATCTTCTGCTTTAAGCCAGATTATTTCTGCACCACCAGATAATCAGAGATAAACAGAAAACCAGGGATCAGATCCTGGGATATAGGGCCTGTCCAGAAGGGCCCTGAAAGAGTGCAACACATGCAAAGTCTCATAGTGGATTTCCATGGCTGAGCAAGCATTCAAACCCTGTCCTTTAGAGTCCAGCACTCACCCATCTCGTATGCCATGTTGTCTTAGCCTGCAGTATATCCTTGCCTTGACCTGAGCTAGTCTCGTTTCCCATGCTGTTAGCAAGCTTAAGTTTATCTCCTTTCCCTTGATTTCCTGTTGAGCGAGAGTGTCTCTTTATAACAATAAACTGAATGACGTGTGCATGCTGTCGGGAGCTGAAGCGCTCCAAAGGGCAATGAGCTGCAACAGCAGCTGTCTAACCTTGAGATGGCTGGAGGCCAGAGACTTCCAGAGTCTTCTCTGTGGAGCAGCTCTAGGGAGCGTGTGGGCTCTTTTGTCCAGATCAGAAAGAAAGAAAGAAAGAAAGAAAGAAAGAAAGAAAGAAAGAAAGAAAGAAAGAAAGAAAGAAAGAAAGAAAGAAAGGAAAACAGGAGTGGAGTGGTGGGTCAGGGTATTGTTTTATAGGAGGTTAAGTGGGAAAGACTTATGTGAAGAGAAAGAGATACATACTGTATTTAGTTTGCAGTATCTTCACTGAGCATTTTTTTTATTTTTCTAATTTTTTTGCATTGAAAGAATGGGCTAAAGAGCCTTGGCAGAAAGCACAAAGCTCTTGCCACCTTAAATGATAGAGTTTATAAACCTGGAGTGTTACGTTCACTTGAGTTTGAGTAAACTAATACTTAGCCAGATTGACAGAGACAAGCAAAGGTCCCATGTGATCAACCCCTTCAGTGTGATTTTCTTCCTTTTTCTCTATTTCACTCATTTCTATCTCATTAAAATACTGTTGAGCTTTTCCTCATACCTTGTCTCTGGAAGACCTAATAACAATTTTAAGAGGGCAATATGAATAGGGGACATGGCATGGCTTAAACCTAAATCATATTCTCCTAGTCCAGATTCTGTGATTCCCTACCTACATTCCCTATCTTTTCAGTTCTATGTATTGTTTATTTTATGTGTGGCACTTCTGAGTGCTTTGTAAGCTGCCCCAAGTCCTATGGGGAAATGGTGGTGGGGTACAAATAAAATTTGTTTTTGTTTTCGTTGTTGTTTTTATTTAAAACAACAAGATGAGTCCACAGTAAGCACGACCACTCTGCTGGCTGTTGTATTGGATCACACATCAGACACTTCCCAAGTGTCTAGAACTGTGTGATGTATCGGCGAATGATGTGTGCAGATCCCAGTAAGGTGGCCTTTTGCAGCTGGCAGATGGTAATTTTGTCAGTGCCAATTGTTTTTAAGTGCAGGCCAAGGTCTTTAGGCACTGCACCTAGTGTGCCAATCACCACTGGGACCACCTTGACTGGCTTGTGCCAGAGTCCTTGCAATTCGATCTTTAGAACCTCATATGGCATCAGCTTTTTTAGTTGTTTTTCTTCAATCCTGCTGTCGCCTGGGATTGCAACATCAATGATTAATACTTTGTCTTTTAACACAGTCGTGAGGTTGGGAGTATTGTGCTCCAAAACTCTTGTCTGTCTGAACTCGGAAGTCCCAGAGTAGTTTGACATGTTCATTTATTATTACTATTACTATTTATTACATTGTAAGCAAAAGAAAGGTTTCAGGGCTATCAAGTCATAAGTCCCTGCTTCATGCCCACTTTGGTCCCTAAAGATGCAACTTCACTTGGGATTTGTTGTGTGCCTACAGGGTGGCTTTAAGGGCCTTTCTACATGGGCCACATGTGGCAGAGCTGTTCCAAAGTGGGGTGCTCCATAGCATCTCTGGGGGAGTTCACGTAGCTCTGTGGTGCTGAACCAACAGCTGGACAGCCACCCTTACTGTCCCCATTATGACTACTGGATACAAAAAATGCGGGAGAAGTGAGGGAGGAAATGAGGAATTTCCTCTCATTTCCCCTTCTCCAATCATTCTTCTGCTTCAGCCATCGTCAGCATGTGATGAGTGATGAGCACCACGGTTTTCTTATAGCAAGACATAGTCAGAAGAGGTTTACTAGTGCCTTTGCCTTCCTCTGAGAGAGTGTGGCTTACTTAAAGCCACCCAGTGAGTTTCCATGGCTGAATGGGGATTCAAACCCTAGTCCTCCAGAGCCCTAACAGACAGGGCTCTTATTCTCTTGAGATACAGTCTGAAAAAGGCAGATATGCTGTATTTCATTGCATAATAGTTGCACTCCCCCCTTTTCCCCAATGATAGATAAGGACGGATCATAAGATACATTCGGTCCTTCATTCTGGTTGTGCTGATTTTGATTAGGGTTCCACGTCTGTCTTTACCTCATTAAAGGCTGCTATCTTCCCTTCAGATTTCATTAGAGTTTGTGTAGATATTGGTCTGGATCCAGACTTAGTTGATGCTTAGAGCTGGGATGAAGGAGGATAAGTAAATAGCAGTTAATTAAAACAGGAGTACACAATATACATGCAGCTTTGGCAGCCCCTGATCTTTCAGTAAACACAGATCACTGTTTTTGTGCCCCTTCAAGCAGGTAAACTGCCTTCACAGAAGTTGTACGAGCTCCCTACATTGTTTAACATGGAACAACCCAAAATATTTTGTTTCTAAAACACAAGAAGTGTACTTCCAATTTTGCATTTCCAGTACTGTCTGCAGTTCTAGCGGGGAGAAAATTCGCTGAGATTAAAACTAGCAATAAAATTATATTCTGTTTTTATACCATGGAAGTAGTCAGTGATGCCCACCTTTGAATTAGAGTTCTATTAATATGAGTGAAGTAACTGTGCTCTAAGTCTGGGAAAGTCAGTAGGAACCTTTGTCAGGAGATCTCTTCATCACAGAGAAGACTTCAGCGTGATGCTTCACATAGTAGTAACGTTCAGCCCCTTTTTTGCAGGGGATCTGCTTGAAGGGAGGGACTGGGAGGAGGAGACAGCACTCACTCTTGCCCTCTTCCTCCTGTTTTGTTCTTGAGCCCTACACCAGCTGCTGGAGTTAATGGGATCTCATGCTCATGTTCTGATGGTGTATAGAATCCCATGGAAACCTGTCAGCTTTTCAGATATGTACAGACCAACGACAACTTTCGTTCTGGGTATTCCTTCCATCTTCATCTGAAATCACTTCATGGTGAAATCTGGTCCTGGTAGGCTCACTGCGCTCCTGCCATCCTTTTGTAATTTTCAGATGTTCCCAGACCTCGAAAACGGCTGACCGAGCTGATGATCAAAACCGCCCTGGAAGACCCAGGAGAGGCGATGGCCAGTCGTTGGGCTTCGGTGTCCAGAGAGTGGAGCCTGAAGTTTTTGCGCAGCCCGCTGGAAGTGTTGCCCATGGCTGATGGGAGGCAGGCAAGGGCTATCCGAATGGCTGTCACCAGGTTGGAAGTATGGGCTTCCTTTTTTCTTCGCTTGATGCTATTCCTCTCATTTTAGCTCCCTCTTCCCTCTCCACTTTGCTCTCCAGTCTGTCTCTTCAAGGTCTGCTGCATCCATTTAGTTTTGGAGGCTCCCGCTCTCCTCTCTGGGCCCAGGGGCCTTCCAGCATTAAGCGCAGGACAGCTTCATATTCCCAGTCTAATTAGAACTACCAGCGTAACTGCCTGCTGTCTGCAAATCAAAATGGCAGGCTCTCTCAGCAAGCTGGCACTGTCTGTCCCCAAGGGTCCATTTCCTGCATAGAAGAGTTATTTCCATTTGTTTGATACTGATACCTGTCATAGGAGGGCATGCTAATAATGCAGCCGATAAGTCATCCCAAGACAAGGTGGGATTGCCAGTCGGCTGAAGGGAACTCAGAACCAAGATGGAGTTGACCCTGCTACGTCTTCTTTGGTTATAAAGGACTTACCATCCCTTGTTAATATAACAAGAGGTGGTAACCTAAGGGTGGCTTGCATGAGGCCCTTTAGAGTACCTGTAAGGGGCTGCTTAGATTTTGCATGACTTATAGGCTTGAAGTTTTCTGTTTATAGGAACAGAAGTTGACAGTATTGTTTTAGTGTGTCTGAACTGTTTACATTGATAGTGTATGGAGTGTGTTTTCATGGATTTGTTTACTGTATATTTAATTTTTAAAAGGATTTCAAATTAATGAGAACATAAATTGAGACCTGGCTGAATCATATTACGGTTATATTGAGTCGAGCATTTTTCCATACTCTAGCCATACAAATGATTCTGAAAAGGGCACCAGTAGGATATGAATGCGGCCAGATCTTCTTTCCTATGCTTTCCAGCAACTGATACTTAGAGGGCATGGGCATCCGAAAAGTCATTTTCAGTCCAGAGTCGAAAAATGTGGCAAGATCCGGCCCATTGGTGGCATTGGCTCGTCTTCCCATCATTTTTAGGACTATTGGGATGAAAATGACCACACTTGGAGAACGCATCTACCACTGTTAGCCCACCAAGTTTCATAACGCTTGGGTCATCCCCTGATTTTTAGGAATTTCTTTTCTTTCTTAAAAAATCCCAAAAAGATATCCTTGCTGCCCCCCCCCCCCAGTAACTTCTACAGCAGCAGTTTTATTATTATTAGGCAACAGCCAAATTATTATTATTAAATTAAATTAAGAAGGCAGAGAGATTGCAAAGGATAGGATTGGCAGAGGAAGGCTGGTAGAACTTTTGTTGGTAGTGTTTTTTGCTGGTATATTCTTTTGAATACTACAAATAATAATAACAATACCTTTAATGTCCTGATGGAGGTTGGAGTTAGAGAGAGACTATGGATTTTGTGGGGTTGTTAAAGCTTCCACAGAAGCCCAAAACCTGCTTATTATAGGCAACAGTCAAATTATAGTTATTAAATGAAATTAAGAAGGCAGAGAGCAGAGAGAAATATACAGTAATAAAACAACAGAGAAAACTTGTGATGAGATTGCAAAGGAAAGAAATTATTAGGTATTTGTGGTAGGTTTAGAAAGGTAGGTTTTTCTGAGAATGAGCCTTTGCTGTTTGCTGAAGTTCTTATCATTATTAATAACAATGATATTTTAAAAATACTTTTTGAAAGAGAGGAGAGAGACGAGAAGAAGCTAAAGGCTTTAGTACAGGCTAAAGGGTGAGTCAAAGTTCCGAGCCACCCTAAAAGAAAACACACCTACCCACAAGTCTCCCAAATGCTGCATATTCACCCACCCATATTTTCTAACTCCCAGTCCCTAAATAAAAAATCAAGAATATAATCTAGGAAAATGAAATAATAAAATTAGATTCTATGAGCCATGCCAAAAACTAAAGCTGCAACTGAGCGTCAAGCACCTCTCTCTAGAGCAGTGGTTCTCAACCTGTGGGTCCCCAGGTGTTTTTGGTCTACAACTCCCAGAAATCCCAGTCAGTTTATCAGCTGTTATGATTTCTTGAAGGCTAAAACATCTGGAAACCCACAGGTTGAGAACTGCTGCTCTAGAGCCAGGACTCAACTGAGCAATGGAGGCGCTCGCCCCATTATATAGACACTGCTTGTGTAGGACACGTCATGGCATTCTTCTGTTCTGATTGACCCAACAGGCAGTGCTCACAGGGAAATCTGTGTAGTCTGTTTTGGTTGAAAAAAGCATGGCGGCAGAGCCCTTACCATTATGGGTGTCCAAACAAGCCGAAGGCCAATATCCAAAATGAATCTGTACACAAGCTTAGAGCCTACAGTACCTGCTTTGAGTTGGTAGTCTCCTATCTAAGTGCTAACTGGAGCTTAATCTGTTTTGTTTCAAAAATTGGTGGGGGGAGGGGATTGGTGCCTTTCAGGCTCAATCAGAGGCATACCGCTGCCCTCCACCCAGTACTGGAGGTGATAATATAGCCATCCTGACTAGTAGCCATTCATGGCCAAATCCTCCATCAATGTATACTATCCCTTATATAGCTATCCCAATTGAAATCCATAGCTACTTATTGTGGTAGTGAGTTCATTGTGTGGAGAAGTACTTTCTATTATTAGTTCTTCAGTGGATGACCCTTACTTGCAACTGGCCAAGAAGCCTGGGCTGAGACTGTTGGCATTGTGTGATGATCTCCCTCACCTTGCCCCTTTCTCCCCTTCCTTTTCTTTCCCTTCCTGGACTTCGCAGGGTACAGGAGAGGCTGCCAAGGCAGTTCCCACTGGAGAAGTTGAGGAGATGACGTGTGGACTGGTTCTCAGTAGCATTGGCTACAAGAGCCTCCCAATTGATCCTGCTGTACCCTTTGACCCCAAGAAAGGCATTATCCCCAACAATTTGGGCAGAGTGTTGGGGGCACCAGGTCAGTAAAATTGTAGTTGTTCAGTGGTCTCAGTAGTGATGCAAAGGCCTGGGTCAAGCAAAGACAGAAAACTTCAGGGTGAGAGGTGGGGGAATTTCCATCTGGTTTTTTTCTGAAGTTTTTTTTTATGGGCAAATTGAAAATTGGGGGCTGGGGGGTGAAGCAGATTGTAGGGGTTTTTAAAGGAATGATTAATATTATGTTAACCCCTGTTAGTGCAGTGGGTTAAACCACTGAGCTGCTGAACTTTCTGACCTAAAGGTCAGTGGTTCAAATCCAAGGAGTGGGGTGAGCTCCTGCTGTTAGCCCCAGCTTCTGCCAACCTAGCAGTTCAAAAACATGCAAATATGAGTACATCAATAGGTACTGCTTCAGTGAGAAGGTAAAGGTGTGCCATGCAGTCATGCTGGCCACATGACCTTGGTGGTGTCTACAGGTGTCTAAGCTCTTCGGCTTAGAAATGCAGATGAGCGCTACCTCCCAGAGTCAGACACGACTAGACTTAATGTCAGGGGAAAACATTTACTTTTTCCTTTAATATTATGTTTATGTAAGGCAATATACACACTATAGTCACTGAAGTTCTTATTTCCATTTCCCAGTTCTTTCAATTAGAAGGAGTTTCCTTCCACCCGTTCAACATTTCTGGAAATGTTATCTTTTTGGCTCAGCCCCCAAACTTGTTTCTAACCAGAGAAGCTCAGTGTAGTTGTTCAACTGCAAAGACACTGAATCTGGAGTAGGATGGTGACATTTGCCTGTGTCCCTGAATGACCTTGGGGGTTGGGGTGAGGGGGTGTTCAGCCAGGGCTGCAATAATCCTGACTCCAAGGAGATAAAATAGCGAGTTTGTAGGTATTGCCTGGCTCTGTTCCAGATGAAGAATGTGGACCAGATTAGTTAGGCTGCCTGACTGTGTATTATCCTTTGCAGGGCTCTACTGCAGTGGCTGGGTAAAGAGGGGGCCCACGGGTGTGATCATCACTACGATGAATGATAGCTTTGACACAGCCCAATCTGTGCTGGAGGATCTGCAGTCTGGTGCCTTGGACGTTTCAGGTGCCAAAGGAGGCTTTGACTTGGTGAGGAGCATCCTTCAATCCCGAGGTAAAGATGTTGTGTTCTCTTTCTCTAAATATATTGAGTTCTGTGGGCAACAAGGACAGGACATGGGCCATAGGAAGCTGCCTGGTATATGAAGTAAGACCCTTGATCCATCTAGCCCAGTATTGTCAACACTGACTGGTAGAGCTCTCCAGAACTTCAGGCAGGAGCCTTTCCTATCCCCCTGCTTGAAGATCACTGATGGTCTCCCAATTAATTACTAACCAGTCCTGATTCTGTTTAGCTTCTGAACTCTGATGAGATTCAGCAGGCTCAGTGTGGTAAAGTGGAGGAATTCAATTCTCAGTGTGTGTTTTACTTAACATTAGAGAATGTTAACTTCCTCTAGTGGGGCAAATTTGGCAGGTCCTTTCTGGGACAGCTAGTCTTCTATTTTCCTTAACAATCCCAAATATTAGCAACATCAGGAACCTTATCCGAAACCATGGCACAGGCCCTATCAAACAATCAGAAAGGTTTAGAGATTTAAGGTTTCTAAATAAGATTGTTTTGTGGCAGGGTTTGCATTCTAACTTAAAGGAAAATGTTGTCAAATGGTCAGTCGGTGCTGCTCTTGGTGCACTATGAAAGGGAGAGAGGGACAGGATGATTTCACATCCCCTTCCATCCCCTGTGATTTCTTAACATTGGATTTTTATTTTATTTTTTGCTTTTAACTTTAATGCCTATTGTTACAGTAATTCCTACACCTAAGCATCATGGGCAGTGCATTTGAGTCTCTTTTCCTAAAAAACAAAATATTGAAAGATGTGACGGCGTGTTTTCCTTTTTTGCTTTTGTTCTTCAGTCAACATAAGATGCAAATTTCCTTGCAGAAGTTGCATATTTCCTTGCAGAGTTTTGAAATATGTTGTTGAGTTTTTAGTGGTGAGGATCATTCTGAGCTGGAACTGGATGTATTCCAGGCCTCTCCAAGACTTCGTTTGGTGCCAGACACTGGCACACATTATTGCTATAAGCAACATTGTTGGGAAACGATGCAGCAGATGGGATGCAACAGGGAAGCATTCCGGCCCTTTCGTTCATGGGTCCAGTGTCCCATCGCAGCCAACGATAGCATTGGGCTGCTAACAAACTAATTCTATCCAAACCAAGCCTGGCCAGCAATTCAGTTCCTCATTGTTGGCTAAATTGGGATCTCTCAGGTTTTTTTTGTTTTTTTTTAACTTAACTGTTTTTCTTGATTGCCCATTACCCAATGGCCTCTTTGGTTGTTGTTTGTTTTCTGTTTCTATTGCATCCCTAACAAGACATGGATTTCAACAGTAGATTCTGGTGCTGGTCAGGATAATGGACTTGGAACCTTCCTCTGACAACAGACAAGACTAAAACATTTAGTTATTCCTGACATTATGAAGCCTCCTGCTCACTCTTAGTTGCAATTAGCCTAAAATTAAGTTTCTCTGCAGATGTTTTTTTTTCATATTCTAATCTAAGACATTTATTCCTTTCTGGTATTGATAGCCTTGGGATGCCCTTTGTTGCTGAGTGACAGAGGATTATGGAAGGTTTGTGCCGTATACCATGTTTGATACGTCAAACAACTTTTGAGTAGGATAGAGCATATTTGGGTTAAAGTGCTAGTGCTACTGTTTACATACCTGTCACAAACTGAAGGGAAGATAGCAAGATGTAAATGGCAGCTCTAAGAATCACTTCTAATATAGCAGATATCTCATCTCTTGCTCTCACTTTGTCTCGCCCCCCCCCCCCCCGCTCTCTCTCTCTATATAACTTGATAAAAGCATGTGTATCTGTGGTAAAAAGTATCTATCATGCTTGGTCATATTCCAGCAAACTGAAACTTCTCACTGTATGTATATATGTAGTAAAATGGGTGCACATACACTTTTGAGACTTGATGGTGTATGCTTGCTTTACAGTGCAGTAATGAATGGTGGCTAAAGTAAACTCTGTCTGCAAACCTTTGGGAATCATGACTTGAAAAACAGTAGCTATGGCAAGCTTAAGAATGCAACCTCCCTGTCCAAAAAGAAACCAGGTTTTGAAAGTTTCTCGGTAACATATGCAACCGGGAAAACAACCATATGAATTGGCTTCATTTCTACAAAGACCATTGAATTTGGATTATTTTTGCAGCTATCATTCTCTGGCGTACTTAAAAATGTGTTCTACTGCCCATCTGGGTCCTTTACTGTCATTATTTTTAAATGCTTTCAGTTAGTGTGTTCCCTGTAAACTAATTCAGGATCTTTAAGTGAACCAAAGGCATTTCATCCCCTAAGGTAGAAGAGTGCTATTATAAGACTCTTTCAAGACATAACTAATTTGACTTGCGCTCTTGAGTCTGCTTAGTAATGTATGTGCAAAGCCTGCCTTTAATTCTGAAGGAGTCTGCGCATGAAAGGCAGATGGGCTGCTGTGGTTTGCATGTATGATTAGTCAGAAAGGAGGTTGATTTTGATCTATACTTCTCCTTTTTCTCTTGTTTGGTTAACAGGGATCTGCCCTGTATCCTTTTCAGATTGGGAGAAGATCGATGCTGCTGAAGTGGCAAGGGGCAAGCTGTCTGGAAAGCCTCGGGAAAAGATAACAGATCCACGAGAAATGCTGGAATTGATCGGTTGCTGAGTTGGGTGTTTGCTTGGCAAGAATTGTGCAGGGGCTATCTGTACTTTGAACAAAAGTGTCCAGGTCTCAGAAGATGGTGTTGATAGCATTTATTCTACAATGCTCTGTTAAAAGAGGTCTGATGCAAGGAGCAAGTCATTTCAAGTTTTTGAATAAAAAGCCTTGGCAAAAAGCTTGTTGCCATTACATTTGGTCCACCTGTCTGCTGTGTGACAGTTTTTTGTCCTTGGCAGATTATTTGGCAGCAAGTCTCAGTATTTATCTGCAATTTCTTGCTGTTCCTGTTCTGGCCAGCACCTGGACCTGTAGTGATTCACTTCTGTCTTTATCACAGTAATTTCAGAAATGGAGGGTGTACCTCATTACAGTAAGGATATGATTGAAATGTTTTAATTTTCAGGGGTTTTGTAACCAGGACTAAGTGCCTTCCCTGTTCTTTCAGGAATGTGTGGGAGTTCTTTTGTTTTGTTTGTGTGAGTGAAATCTTGTCCAGTTTGCATCTCTGCATTATGATGTGTATACGACCTATTTGAAAAGACAGCTCTGGGCATGATTCATGCACCTGCCCATCCTGGAAGATGTAGGAAATCCTGATGACTTTTTGCCATTTTTCCTTCTGACAACGCCCAGGGTACAGAACATTCTTTTTTGTAGCCTGCTTTGGACACTCTGGACGTGATAATAAAACACAACCGAAGAACTTGAGAGAGAGGAACTAAGCTTGGATTGAATAATCATGAGGACGGGGGCATCAATCACCGTTCCCCTTCACCCTGAAACTCAATTATTCTTCCTCACCCACACCTCAACTTTGATGTCAGATTGCAGATTGTATAATCATTTTAAAATAAAGCTCCTTCTCAAACAGACTGTGAACTTGGGTCAGCACACTTGATTCCCATTTCTGATCTCGCATATATGCTTTAGCCTTAACATAAGCTGGCTAGCCTCCCACTGTACCAGCCCTGAGAGCTGGGAAACACAGCTGAAAATGTTGGTGAAAATGCTCTTCACGAACTTGATCGATCCTTGCCAACTTAAAGCACACATCCACTGTCAATAAATCATCTGAGATGATTATCTTTTTTGTTGGAAACTCAAACACAAGTTGGATTATTGCTGCAGCTAAAGTAAGAGAGATGCATGATTAATTAGCTTTTTCCTGAGGCATACCACAACAGAGAGATGGGCATTATCCTTGGATTTGGGGTTCTGTGTTTAAGGATTGTCTGAGTTTATGTGTTGTGCTGATAGACATCTATGGCAATGGAATGAAGACAGCCTCATAATACATCATAATCCTTTTCATAATCCTTGGAAAATGTACTTGTTTGCACAAGGAGTCCCAAAAGGCCCCTGCCATGATTCAGTGAATTGTAGCCCCCAAAAGTAACTTTTTCAAATTCTGATCTTCAGTGACCCTCCATAAATATTTCACGTAGAGAAGCCGCCAGTGAATGAATTGTCTAATAAAAACAGCACCGCCTTTTCTGTAGCTGTTTTGTTTTCTGAATTTACATGGCTGTCGCAATGGCGTTTCCCATAGGAAATGCAGACATTGTTAATACCAGGCTCATGTTCTTAATTCCTTTGTACACAGTCGGAGGCAACAACTCAGTCACTTCTCCCAGATTTCAGTACATAGGATTGTTCCCACTTTTCTTGTTTGCACTAGGAACACTGGTGCCACACCTTGACATCCATTAGAAAAACAAATAAGAAATGTATGAAGACATTAACTCCTATGTCACTTGCTCTAATATACCTTAATCTTCAATGTCGACTCATGCTTAGCTGTGGTTAGAAACTGGAAGCCCTTGAGCTTGGCTCCTAATGCAAAAGATATCTTATATTTTCCACCCTTCCTGTCTCAGCAGAAAGATAACCTTGTACCTATTCCTCAGGGCCGTGCCAGATGATTTGGCTGTTCTAAGTGTCTAAATATAGAATTGTCTCTGTTTTGCAGGAAATCTTGGAAGTTGCTTTTTCAACAGAGGTAGATAAAGTATGAATCTTCAGATATTGGATTGCAACTCCCAGCCTTTCCCATGTTGGCTGTGCTAACTATGGCTGATGGAACTTGCAGTCCAAAAAAAATCTAGGCGCCTGGGAACACCCCTCTTGTGCAACATAAAATGTTGATAGTTTCTATTCAGATGTAGGCTACCCAGTACTCTCCTTGTTGTGTACCTTGAAGTCATTTGTAAATTATGGTGATCCCAAAGTCACAGGGTTTTCATGTCAAGGTTAGTTCAGAAGGGAATTGTTGCTTTCCTCTAAGGCTGAGAGAGTGTAACTTGTCCAAGGTCACCAAATGGGTTTCATGACCAAGTGGGGATTCCTGGTCTCCAGAGTCATTCCCCAATGCTCAAACCACTACACCAGTGGTTCCCAATCTGTGGTCCATGGACCACCAATGGTTCGCAAGAATGAAAATATGGTCCATGACCTCACCTTTACTACATGGTTCCCTTGAAACCACACGGTAACAAGAGCGACTGGTCTTGTGAAACCCTCTTCTAGTGCCAAGGCAATGGGGATGTCAAGAGGGGAAGAGGCTGACTACCCACAAAAAATTACTTCTACCACATAAGTTCTAGATTATGAAATATGGTTTTTTGTGGGTCAGCAGATGGCAACTGCTGTTCTGTATCAGAAACTAGAGCTTATGTGGTCTAGCCAATGCAATGTTCTGAATTAGCACCCCAAATAACCAGACCGAATCTAAATTTGACCAAAAACCGATTCGTAAACCTTTTGGTACTAATGTTGAAAAGTAGTCCCTGGACAAGGTGCACCTTGGTCAAGTGGTCCCTGGTCAAAAAAAGGTTGGGAATCACTGCACTACACAAAGCGGGCTGTCACCCAGTGCTTTAGCTGAGCTTTTTTCTGCCTGTGAGTAATTTTGTTTCTGTACTGAAACTATTGGGTGTCCCCTTGGGCTATCTGAGGGGTATCTTTTGAGCTGGGAGGCTTTAGTTGGAATTGCAGAGTTTGTTGTACTAGTCTCATTTGTAACCGAGAAGGCACGTGTTTCTCATTTGCAGTGTCTCATTAGGAAGTGCAGAGAAGTGCGGGGACTGCTGGAAAAACATAGGCAAACGAGCAATAAAGCTGGTTGAACAGCTGCTTGTGTGCTAGAGCCCCTGTTACAGCACTGGGATGATGCATTTATGGTGTTACTCTCTCTGATCTGGGGATTACATCAACTCTGGATTTAGGGAAATGATTAAGCTGGTTTTGGCAGCCTGCTCTAGGAAGTGTTGGAACTGATCTGTGTCCCCTGCTCCAGGAGGCTTTAGGATCCTGGTGGCATTGTCACCCTTACTGGCTCACACCCTCCCTGCACACAAAAGTTTCCCTTCCTTGCAAGGATTGTGTGTGTGTATGTGTGTGGTTAAGCCTTCCTACATCACAGCAGAGGTTATCCTGCACTGAGGAATTTCACATTCCAAACTACATGGATTGCCTTCCATTTTGTATGTTAAGTGCCATGTGGCTCATCTAGCCATCTCATCCCTGCTTAGGATGGGGACTTTCCCTTGCTGCTTGGTGACCTCTCAGCTGATTTCAGCAGGTGAAGCAGTTGCTTCAGAGGCTGCTGGTGGCAGAATGGGGAAGACAACAGAAAGACCTGACCCACAGAGCACTATATTTATGGAGATTGTCCTTCATGCATCAGCCGTATTCAGCAGAACCAAAGGTGGGAAATGCTGGGAGTTGTAATCCAATATCTGAATATTGATACTTTAATCTACTTCTGTTGAAAAACAACTTCCTTCCAAGCCTTCCTGCAAAACAGAGATCGATATCTTGAGATCGATATCTCATATGATTCTTGTTTACAGTGAGTATTCTGTCAGGATGACTTCCTCATAGATGGTGCACCATGTAAGTCCAGTTCATTTCAATGTTTTCCTTTAGGATGCAAAATGGTTGGGTCCAGGCCAGCCAGCCAGCCTGCTTTTCATCACTGCAATAAGCTCTTGGCTAAAATGGGATGATACTTATGACAAAACAGCTACCAAATAGGATCCCATTTCAATGTTGCATTTTATATGAGATGGGAATCACATAGCTTTCCAGTGGTCAATGGATTTTATGTCCCAGCAGGCTTAGTATAAGCAATGTAGAGGAATGTTGGGGGTTGTAGATCAACAACATCTGGAGACACACACATGTCCACTTCAAAACAAGAAAAAAATAAAATCAATGTAAAATAGTTCCAGTAAGATAGGTTGGATGACTAGAGGGTGCCTCTCTGTTTTGTTGACAGCCTTCTGGATTATGCAGTTGATAAATGGACCATTGTATAGCCCTACAGCTCCCATTAGCTCCAATCAGCCTAGCCAAAGGTGAGATAGGGTCCAATAATGTTCACAGCTAAAGACCAGAACTGAACAGGGAACATGCAAGATTTTAGTGAAAGTGACCGGATTTCTGGCACCTGAATGATGATTTTCCAGACAGACTGGCAATCCTGCTACTAAGCACTGCAGGTTTCTGTATAAAAGATCTGAAGTGGAGAGACATGCCACACACATTTACACTTTGCCCTCTCTTCACCTGTGTGTATGTACAGTTGCAGCAATGTACAGAAAACCACCCTGCAGGTATGCTGTCTTGAATAACTTTCCCAGTCAGGATGGGGAGAAACACTGAAAGAAGAGAGAGGGTGTTTTTTTGGTGGAGCTTTCGGTATTCACAGACTTTATTCATATCAAAGTCTGATTTGAGCTTTTGAGATTAATGCCCCAATGCAAAATAGCACTGAAGGGCAAAAAGTCAATCTTTTGGGCTTAACTTTGTGCAAACGTGGTGGCCTTAGTTAAGATTATGCAAATGCACTGCATGTTCATCATGCCTTTGAACTGCTCCCACCAAAGCATTAGTCGCTGAGGCCCCATTTGGCCTGAAAACCTGGGCTCTTCGACTCCATCCTCCAAGCCTAACTAAACTTCCTGGGGCAAGTTTCTCCTCTCAAGTCTACTCAGTCCATTAGGTGGTGACATGAAGCCAGAAACAGCTTCTTGCACCCTCTGAGAAAGGGAATGACTCCTTAAGGGTCCTTCTGCACAAGGGGCCCTCAAACTAAGGCCCAGGGGCCGGATGCGGCCCTCCAAGGTCATTTACCCGGCCCTCGCTCTGGGTCAACCTGTATGAAACTACTTGAAAGCACACAATAAAACATCAATCCTATCTCCTCAGCCAAAAGCAGGCCACACTTTCCATTGAAATACTAATAAGTGTATATTTGTTAAAATTATTCTTAATTTTAATTATTGTATTGTTTTTAAATGTTTTTTGCACTACAAATAAGATATTTGCAATGTGCATAGGAATTCATTCATGTTTTTTTTCTAATTATAATCCGGCACACCAACAGTTTGAAGGACTGTGACTTGGCCCTCTGTTTAAAAAGTTTGTGGACCCTTGTTTTGCACTGTATCCCAGGATCTGATCCCAGATTATCTGCTTTAAACTGTGATATATGAGGGCCCTTCCAAACTGACATATAACTCAGAATATCAAGTCAGATCATCCACAATATCTGCTTTGAACTGAATTATCTGAGTCCACATTGTTATATAATCCAGTTCAATATGGATTTTATAAAGTTATGTGGACAGGGCCAGAGTCTCCACTGTCAGATATTCTGGGATACGCAGATAATCTTGGATCAGATCCTGGGATATAGGGGCAGTGTGGAAGGGCCCTAAAAGAGGCTGAAGTTGCCCAAGTGGAGCTGGATGCCATGGTGCTTCAGGGCAAGATCCATTCTGTTTGTTCTTCATGCAGGGAGCTGTATGAAGTTAATAATGTCTGTATCGAGATATCTTCTTTACCTGTTACATTACTAAGAGTGCTT